ATTAGAAGAATAATCAACTAACAACTCGACTCTTGTTAATATTTTAGTCTTCAGTGACACTCGACATTAATATAATGCGGCAAAACTAAGTGGACAGAAAATCTTGCCTTACGCTATATAAACAATTGTATTTCGATTTTAGTTGGCTTACATGTTCATTCATTTTTCATTCACCAACTCTAGAGTAACAATATATATGATATATTAGCTACTCTACGTACTACGTTTGTGTTGGAAAAACGCAAACGAAGTTATCTAAGAGTAAGACCAAAGAGTAAAATTATTCGAGGGTTAGTTACTCCGGTTCTCTACACTCACCATACGAAATACAGCAGTGACAAGCTGCCATTTTACGCTGGTATTCTGTGAGGGCGTGGTCCTTCCCCGGTCGAACCGACCTATTCGTGCTACAACTATACTACTAAAATAGCTGCAGCATGGCTCTACCACGTATATAAAATAACTACTTAACTTTATATATGTAATTTAAGTAGTTATTAAAAGATAAATATACTAAATATATTTAACTTTTAATAACCACTTAAATTCATTATATTTGTTATGCCACTACATAATCTTCCAGGAAATAATGAACTCGTTAAACCAATTAAAGTCAACGTATAAATATTATGTTTTAATTTGTGTTTAAGAGTTTGCGTGACTTGTGGGCGTGGCAGTACTAGCGTATCCTTGATGTTTTCGTGTATATTACTTTTGACATTTTTATATTCGTCCTAAATTTATACACAAACACAGTCTTGATGAAGATCTTGAACCTTGGATGTTTATTTTTATTTTTAGTGTATTTTTAATTTCTATGAGTAGGATTTTCCTACGAGCACACAGTGTACTGGATTTATATATGACTGTAATGGATATTATGAAATAAATCAGCAGTTTGATCGAGGTAAGATCTAATGAAAGGAAGGATGTAAGATCTTTCCTTGGTAGGGATTATTTATAAACCATTATTATTTCACCATTTGCATTCCTAAAGTATTCTTCCTATTCCTACTAAATAATTTACAAGTAAAAAGGGTTTCTGGTTCTCGTCATTGGCCATATTAAACACAGCAGTATTACGCTGCTATTTAATGCTAGTATTCTGTGAGAAAACTTGGACTTCCCCCGTCTAATTCCTTCCCGATTAATCCCTAAAGGTGTAAGATTTAGGAACATTTCACTGTTACTATGTAATGATAAATATCAAAAACTTTTATAAAAGAACCATCACTCTCATCTCAAAGTGTGTGTGAACCACAGCGTCCAGATACCATCAGGCTAATTTTGTATCTATTCATTCATTGACTAATTGCAGTCCTTCACAAGTCCATGGCTGAATATAGGTCTTCCCCAAGGAATGCTATTAAAGAATGAATAATTTATTATAATTAATTATTGCTTTTTATAAGTTTACATTTGAGCTAAATGTCGGAAAAGTACTATGATATTTTCAAATCTCGAATGAGTTGCTTTTTGAATTGTTATATTCGAATCGTTGACTAAATATAACAAAACATGTTATCTTGTTTACTGTTTGCAAACATTCAAAATCAATGATGCTATTGTATTAAAAGAGCTACCTAAGCTCTAACAAAGTAGTAGTTTCCTGAAACGGTGACATTCGAAGGATTCTAAAGTAGAAACACTTCAAGATAATTGGTAGTATAAATAGCCCCGGGATATTGCAACTCAACGTTAAGATCAATGCATTTTACTCCAGACAATGCGAGAAGAATGTATGACACGTTTATTGTTCGAGGCTAGTTCACTTGCAATATGAACTTTCTCCTAACAGAATAGAAATAAATTTTCTGTGCTCGAAAGAAGTTTGATAAAATGTCATATATTTAATGCGACCCGATCTCTGCCTAGCGTATGAAATTAATCTCAATTTGAAGCAACGTCTTGTCACGGTGTTTGTGTAATGAAATGGAGCAAGTCTGTATCATTCATTAGAGTCGGACACTTCTATACATTTAATTGTTTGAACTTGCCTGGGCTGCCGTTTAACATCGTCTCGGCTAATCAAGGCACGGTTAACAACATCCGCTCTGTAAGTGGTCGGCCGATGACTCGGCGCATCATTCGATGATGCAATTGTCTCGGCCCCGGACAATTATGCCGAGAATTGCGTCTTCAATTGAACTAACTTCCGATTGGGTGTCAAGGATGGTTTCTTCTAATGTCAATAGAGATGAACTTGAAAGAGTTGACTACAATTAACGGCACTCGCGATCTCGGGTATATAAATTTCTTATCAATTTAAACAAGTATGAGCATATTCTCATGATTCTTGTTGTTTTTTTAAGATAAAATATAAATTATTGTAATTTCTATAATTCGACATAAAGAGCCCTACCAAAGGTGATAAAAACAATTAAACCTTAAATATTGTATCTGATAAAAAATAATGTAACGCTGTAGATTTATAAAATAGTTTTAAATTATTACGATGGAAAGATACGAGTAATTAACAAAACTTTATTTGTTTTTAAAATGCTACAATTAAAATGTGTAAATTTTATTTACTTAATTGTCCCTCCAAAGACTATGTTAACTACTTATGTGATTATTTAGCGATCAACTGCCAATACACATTAGTACGCTTTAACACAAACAAAATCCTTGACAAAAAAAAAACCAAATACCCAAAAATAATAATATTTATTATTTATTACTTACACCGATCTTTAGGCAAGAACTACTCTTCTTTTGACCCCTCAGAAATTCGAATTTATTATGCATTTACTGCTTAATGTTGAGTGTTCTTGAAGACGTGTGTGACGCTATGTAATTGTCGTTGTGCAAGCTGAGAAGGTTCCAGTTCCCTAACTTTGGTCACATTATTTTTCACTTTTGGGGCATAAACTGCCACATAACATTTGAACATTTGAAGATAACCGTTCTTGGAGCGCCCAGTACCACAGAAGCAGTATAACCCGTCTTGCAGAAATACGAGGCTATTTGTTTCTGTGTACTTTGCACATGGCAAATATTTGTTGAAGTTAGCTCACCTTCAAAGCCAGATACAGTCGATTGCCGTTTTATTTCGTATTCATAGCCATAAATCAATATTTTTCATTATATACGTGTTTCTCTACATCCATTATGTTATTCGTCGGTTTACTCAAAAAAAGTTTTCCGCTACTAGAACTTTTTCTTGGCTGACCGCGGTTGGCAGCCGATCTGCATCTTCATCGATCGGCATCGATCATCTACTTGCTTTCATCTTCCAAGCTTCCCTGTCCTCTTTTGATATCAGTTTTCCTTTGTTGCTTTCGATATCCACAGATCGAACGGATGATTTGGGGCATTGAATTCCCTTACACCGCGAAGTCATTGGGCGAAAATCACGTCAACTGAGCTCTATTGCTACGAGCGAAAGATTATCACAAGAAATTTTAAAAAATAAAAGATCAATTTTTCAAATCTATCAGTAAATATCCCACTCCTACGATGATGTAACTAAAAATCAAATGAGTAATGAGTATCAAAACATTTAGCACCTTTTACGTGGCGCTCGATATAATAGCCCATTTGTAACTAGTGTAGTGCGGTTATAAAACATAAAAAAAAAACATAAACACTCACGCCTGTCACCTAGAGGGGTAGGCGGAGACTACGGACTTCCATTTGGCGCGATCCTGACACACCTCTCTCGCCTCTTTTACATCCATATATCTACGCATACACGCTCGTCGGTTAAGGGTACTCCTAATCTGGCCCATTTTTAATGTATCGCCGATTTGGTCGATAAACCTTCGTCTAGAGCGTCCCTTCCCGACCCTGTCGTTCTAGTGCGGTTATATTAAAAGAACCGTAAAATGGGGTGAATAGAAAGGATTTCAACTTTTGAATCGAAATTTCAGTATGTTTTTAGCAAATTCCGAAGGTAGCAGTCATCATGTCTTGTGAGTTAAAGTGTCATAAACTGTTTTCAATGAAAGATTAACTTAATTTTCTCGTCATTTATTTAATAAATTACAATATCTGCGCGTTTTCTATTTACCCGCGATATGGGTGAATGGAGTCGAAAAGGGGGTCAATAGAAAAAAATGCTAGGGTTGTCAAAATTTATTTATGTATGTACCTAGAACATATACCTATAAATTATATATTGTATTGATAGAATCAGGCGTTACTTTGCGGAAATCCATTATCCGCTAAGCTTAGCGGTCAGCCGCCGTAGAGTCTATATTACCTGAGGATGCCTCGTGTAGAGGCGAAACACGTGTCGTATTATCGTCGATGGTGTGTCTTGCCTGGAATAGTGGTGTTGAGAGTAGTGGTGCTTGGTCTAGTGGTGACGGAGTTAGTGTATGCAATTGAGGGAGGGCGGGAGGTGCGCTTCAATCCAGGTAAGACACATCATTTTATATGTTTAGCGGAAAGTTGCAAAGAAATTTATATTTTTATTTTTTATTATATATTGTAGTACCATTAACTTTAAAAAAATAGAACAGGGATAGTAAATTATATTTTTATGCAAACAATTAGGGCCAATCACCCACACAATTTTTTTTTTAATAAACATAACAGTGAATTTTACCAAAAAATTATGTTTAGTACGTCAGCTAGATTATCAAAACATATTGTAACAACGTGTTTTTATTTTGTCACTTAAATAAAAAATGAGGATGATACAACGCCTTTAAACTTCGGATGATGTCACAAGATAGTACAACAAAATCCCCACTCCAGAGCGCTTTAATGCGCTTTACCAATGTCAAGTTTTATTAATTTAAGGAAGCAAAAGATACGTGGCTAACGTTTTTTGATGATCTAACTGACGGGACTAAATATAAAGAACTTATAAAGTGAAAAATTCTTTCTATATACGTACTTGTGTAATGCAAAAGAATCTAAATAAAATCAACTAAAAACAAAACCTATGTGATTTAACATAATAATCATAAAATAAAGTTAATATTTTTATTAATCATATTACGTACGTAAGTAATTATTATAATATTATTTGGAGCATTCCGAATTTATATTTAAATATTATCATCTAGTAAGTCTCTTAGTATAGCCTCATCGTCTTTATAATATTTGCTCGGTCTTGCAGTCTTCTTTAAAATTATTAAAGGCGCTTCAGGGGAAACATTTTTGTACTTTTGATCATACGTAATATTCTTGCGAGTTTCTAAAAAGTTTTTATTTTCTATTATCTTTATTTTTTCTCTTTTCATCTTCGGTAAAGTTTCAGTTATAACTTCTGCCACAGAATATTCTTCTTCGTTATTTCCTAACGAACAGTTTGATTCACCAGCATGATCAGACTGACTGACGTTGTTTAGACCGGTTTCTGTATTTTCAGCTTCTGCTGTAGAGTTTATTATTATTATATCACTTAGTGGACAGTTTTCAATAGTTAGTTCTCCTCCACATTCCAAGTCATTTTCAAAATATACAGGCATATCTAAAACACTGTCATTGAGGTCTATAATATCATTTCGTTTGTCTGTAAATGCATTGCCTGTGCCCATATTTTCCTCCATCAACATGCTTGCCTTCCTTTTTGTCTTTTTACCGATCCCTTTTCCTTTAATACTTTTGTTTAAGTTTGTTGTTTCTTTAGGCAATAGATTTTCTTTTTCCACTGAATTATCTGGCTTTTTTATTTTTCTTTGTGGTTTTGATGTACTCGGACCCGGTGTTACTTCGGAGTCAACATAATCCTCAGTAGATTCGCTAACACTCTTTCCTGCCACCACGTCGAGTTTTCGCTTTCTTTTTAATTCTTTTACGCCCATAGTACCATATCGCATGTCATTTAGTAAAGTTAGTACAGACTCATCCACTGCTTCCCTATGTCTACTGCTATTGTTCGATTGTGTTGGTATTCGAGATAGCACTTGTGTAGGGTCTAAAGGATAGATACCAGTTTTTTTAAAACCAGCTTTTAAATTAGACTCAGCATTTTCTTGTATTGCCTCCATTAATTTCTTCAGTAATTTAGGGAAGCAACCTTTTGGCACACTTGTCTCATTGCTGCCATCTGTCTTTTTCCACTTAAGAAGTATTTGCCGCCAAGCTGCCTTCATGGGCCTAAAAAAGGCTACATCGAGAGGTTGAGTTATGTGTGTTGAATTACTTGGTAAAAATACAAAATCAATTTGCTGTTCTTTGCAAAGTTTTATCATATCGACCGACAAGTGTGAAGATAAATTATCACCTATTAGCAGCTTTTTTCCCGGCTTATCAGCAAAGAAGGGTATGACGATGGATTGCACCCAATCTTCAAAAATTGTACCATCGAACCATCCTGATGCCGAACGATTATACCTTGCACCTTTAGGCCCGTGAGAAATCCATGTATTATATAAATTTTGTGCTTTGTATACCACGTATGGTGGTAAAATCTGGCCCTCTGCTGACCCAGCTATCATTAAGGAAACACTGGCCTTTGTGTGGTTCATGACACGTTCTGGATACTTAGTGCCGCGTTTCGTAATAATTTTTCTGCGCCCTGGATCGTCAGCGAGATTTGTCTCGTCATAATTGACGATATTTGCCGCTGGAACATCGGCCAAAGATATTTGTAGTTCTTCAAAATATTTTGTTATGGTTTCTGCTGACACGGCAGCTCGAGATCTCTTAATATTTTGGCATATTCGTTGAGAAATTTTATCTTTATGTCTATTTAAAAAACATTGGATGAAATCAGGCCCAGGGAAATTATTTTTGAATCGCTTATGAGTAATCCCAAGCTTATCCAGATACATTTTAACAATATATCTTAAGTCTAGTGAGTCCAGTGGATAGCCCCATTCTGCGCAAACGTTTATGTATTTGATGATATATTCTTCAGTTGTCAACGAAAGTGCCCTTTGCCCACCTTGCGATTTTACTAGTCCTTTGCTGTGGCGATACAAAACTGATGGGTGTATATTGTGTTTGATAGCTACAGTTTTTATCGAATCATTACCCATTAAATAATCTTCTACCGCTTGCTTAAGAACATTTTTGTCATACCTTTTATAGCGCTTGCCTCCAGGTTCAGGTTTATAAATGCGCGGCATTGTCCAAAATAATCTGAACAAACAAAATAAACATTTATTTTCAATACGAATGAAAATATAAACATTAACTAACTATTTCATAAAACTACAGTCACTAGGTACCTACAATCTTCCATAAGTACAAAAAAGTATCAGGTATAATTTTGTGTAGCAGCCCTAGCAATGACAATTCTAATCACCCCAGTCGTATTGCTACTCACCCCTCGTGCACTTCTATTCAGACTTTACGCGCTTCTATTTACCCCATACCTCGATTCTATCCACCCCTCAGGCGTCTTCTATTCACCCCAAACTTATTCAATTTATAGGTAGCATAACTTTTGGACTTATTTAGAACAGAAATCATGCTCAATTTGACTTACCTTTGAGTTTTCTTAATAGTTAAGTAACTAACACTTTGCATAAATTCGTATTGATGTCTGAATTCAATCGTAGTAACGAACAGAAATAAAAGTTTTACGCTTCTCAAATTCACAACCGTTACTTGATCACTTTGAGACATTATTTTTCGCATTTATGAACAACTTCACTATCATGACGATGTTGCCATAACACAATCAATGTTGCCGTATATAAAAAAATCAAATGTAGCTAATTTCATTGAGCACTGTGAGAGCAATAATGCAACGAACTAAGTTTCGCTTTTTGTTCTATTCCCCCCTTAAATTCTATTCACCCCATTTTACGGAACGCTGGAATACAAAATCAGAGAGCAGAGACATGGGAACGGACACAACACAGATAGTACCGAAGAACCAGATTTGTGGTTTTGGAGAAATTTTTGTTTCGGCTAGAGTTCGAACCCACGATTAGTACCTTACCAGTAGTGTACTCTACCTTATAAGTTGGTTTTTAATCAGCTCATATGACACTCATTGAACGTGGAGGGAGTAATGGGACTCTTTTTTACTATAACATATTCTATCTTAAGCATTTTATTTGTTAAATTTCAATACGTCAAACTATATTTAATTTACGTTAAAGAATAGAATTAAGTAAGTATAGAAAGTCTGTTCAGAATGCCAGTTTCATGAATAAAAAATGTTTTCTTTTATTCTTGAAACATCAGTCACTGATCTTCATTAACACTTTTCGGCACATTCCATCTCAACCCAAGAGACAGGTCTGGCAGGTCGCCGAATCAATTAAAAAGCCCACCATTACAATTCATTCACAATTATTGTTATTCGGTGATGCGCTCGCCGTCGACTTGTGCGTCTCACGCGACTTCACGAACAGTGTTTTTGTCGACCCGAATGTTGTTTAAAATTTCTGTCAATGAACTGAGCTGAAGCTGAAGCTTTTAAAATTTTAATATGGTTTAATCTGAATTGCGATAGTATTAATAAACTAAAAGTTCTTTTTGTCATTTAATATAAAATGGTTCTGCGATAAATATATTTTTATATTATGGTCTCTTAATAGTATTTTTGTCGTATTAATAAAGTATTATTAAATAATAAACATTATAATGATTTAGATTCCGCGCAAAATTTGGTCCTAATTCTTTCATTAAATTGATTATACAAACTGCATAATTTATAATTATATTTATAGATATTATTGTCTGGCCCGAGAAAAAAATGTCAGGCCTTCGTAAAACACCAGCGTAAACTAGCAGGATAATGCTGTTTATTAGTCCCTTTCCCCTTTCTCCATGTGATAAACAGACGTTCGACAAGTTTCCATCACTTTGTTGTCGACTTATCGATACGTAATCGCAAAATACAAATGTCAATCAATTAATGCGTGCATCACAAAGGGAAGTAACAATTTGCTAACGTCTATCATTTTTCATCTGATTACAATGTGCGAATCCTGAAGGCCAGAGTGAACTGCCCTGTTACCTATTTCGTCCGCAAAGCGGAAAAGTATCATCTACTATTTTTTGGATTAAAATGTATAGACTGACGTATTATGGCGTATTCCATCTAAGTCCTCAAAGTATAAGGCATCAATAGTCTCCATTTCTTGTAGTTGGTTGCAGTATCAAAATACAGATGCGCATCACCTCTGAGGACTAAGATGGAATGCCCCATTCACAGTAAAAAGGGTCTCTGGTTATCTACACTCACCATATGAAACCTAGCAGCATTCATGCTATTTTACGCTGGTGTTCTGTAAGAGCGTGGTACTTCACTGGTCGAGCCGACCCATTCGTGCTACAACCACAATATAGCTTTAGCATGACTCTACCACGTAAAATGATTTTGATTCTGTAATCATGATTGATGTTGGAATCGATGGGCACTTACCATCAGGTAGATTGCATGTTTATTTATAATCCTTGCTTCTATCGATAAATAATTATTTTGCAATGCAAGATAATACAAAATCAGAAGATTTTGGAGTATGTAGGTGAACGCTTCAATAAAAAAAAAACTGTGGCAGGAAAACGTCACTCAGTAGCATCAAAAGCATTCAGTTGTGGATTGTTAAAAAAATATCCTTGAGTTAAGACAATTTTATGATATTTCCCGTAATTATTGTAAGAGTTAACAAGCGCTGTAATTGTATACACTATCATTAATTGTAGCTGGTGTATTTCAAAAACTTTATCGCCTCCATTAAACTTAATTTGTAACTTGGTGACATTTCATTGTGTGGCCTTTATAAATAAGAGTAAATTAACATTAAAATTGGTTTGTAACAAATTAATACTTAAAATTTGTAAAATCCTTTAATCTTATTTTTTATCTCTACATAGTATAAAACAAAGTCGCTACCCGAAGTCTGTACGCTTAAATCTTTTTTAAACTACGGAACGGATTTTGATGCGGTTTTCTTCAGTAGACAAAATAATTCAAGAGGAAGCTTTATATGTATAATACATGCATATTATATATTATATAATTCTTGTCCGTGTGTATGTGACTGAACTCCTAAAGGGCTAGACCGATATTGATGAAATTTTGTGTGTGTGATTAAGTTGATTAGAGAATGGTTTAGATTCACAATTGGACCCTGTAGGAGACGTTGTTGTCGAATTCCAGAAATCAACCGTGCGAAGCCGGGGTGGATCGCTAGTAATTTATAATATCTTTACTTCTTTATAACAGTTAACAGTTTTTAATAGAATCTTAATAGAGAATTAATAAAACCCACGACGTTTCCGACGATGAACCTTAAATCCTATGTAATCTTACATTTCGTGTTACCCATTTTAAATGAATGCCAACGTATTTATTGATTCGAAAACTACGAAATATGCAACATAGTGCCTGAATACCCAATTCAAGACAAATAATATATATGCTTAACACTTTCACTGTTAAATTTTCAGACACAATAGTAAGATAATAGCAATGAACTACATATACGTAGTGAACGGGACAGGGAAAGGGTTAATTTATTTTAATCACATGGATAAATTTTGATATTATTTATACTCGTATTAAGTGTAAGCTTATTATATGTTTTTATAAGCATTTTGTGCGGAATATCCTACGCCGAATATCCAATTCATGAGAAATTTTCAATACTTAATATAATATTATTTACTGTCATCATATTGAGGATGTTTTTATATCTGTTCTTTAAGTGAAATATTATAATATGTATATGTATGTATATAGAGAGACAATAACATAACGATACTCATTTTTATTTATAATAATGCAATTTTATTGTCTCGTTTTGAAATACTTCTTATTTAAAATACTTAATAGTTATTTCATTCATTTAATATCCTTATATATATATATAGTCTTATTAATTTAATCTTTAAATACTTTATTTTATTTTTTTCGTCTTTGTAACTTCGTATATTTTCCTAAATTTCATGTTTTATTACAGGAATATGTAAAAATAAATTGTTTTCTCAAGTTGCGTTAAAGTTAAAACTATAATTATTAAAAAATATAATAAAATTGCTAATAGAAATAATGTTAAAGCCAAAAGTCATAAAATATTCTAATAAGCTACATACGCATAAGGTTTAAAAAATGATTTTTATAAAAAAAACTTTAAAAAAACTGTTTATTTCAGACATTGGCTAACAAACTATGTATTTTACATAGTCTACTGCCGTTACATATTGAGGCACTAGTTACATAAACATGAGTGTGTATCCAGTGCCTCAGTATGGGTCAGTCGTACCGACACATGGTGTCGGTGCTCACCCTGCTCCCCATACCCCGGCCCATCATCATCATCATCATCATTACAGCCCTTTACATGTCCACTGATTACCATAGGCATCCTCAAGAAATGCTACACAGCATGGTCCTGAGCCATCTAGTGGGGGACGCCCTACACTTCGCCTGGCGGTACGAGGCTGCCACTCAAGAATCGATCTTCCCCATCGGTGGTCGGTTCCTTGGGCTATATTGCCGGCCCATTACCACTTCAGCTTACTAATCTGTTGGGTTGTGTTGGTTACTCTGGTTCTACTGCGGACACCCTCGTTTTTAAGTTTATCACACAGGGAAATCCCAAGCATAGCCCTCTCCATAGCTCGCTGAGTCACATTGATTTTCCTCATAGGACCAGAAGTGAAGGACCACGTTCCAGGTCCATAGGTTGTCACTGCAACAACCAGTGCATGTTGTTGCACTTGTTTTGAAGTTTTGAGGTAAGCCCGACTAAAAAATGAGTTGTAATCTCCCGAACGCTCCCCATTCCCGACCTCTCGATCGAAGTTGGATTTTTCCAGTCGAACTATTTGTCCCGGGTAAACATGCTCATCAACAACTTCGAGTTTAGTGCTCCCAACAACTACCTTCATAGGTGTGATGTGGAAGTTACACATGACTTTTGTTTTGTCCATGTTCATCTTAAGACTGATCCGTTTGGAGACACTATTGAATTCATTGAGACTATATCGTTGACAAATCGTAGGTCAATGATCAATAATGTACTGACCATTGACATTAATACCGTATCCTTTCCAGTCAAATAGCTTGTAAACGTCTTTTAATGCAGTGAAGCTTACTAACGGTGAAGATTTTCGGGGATATAACGTCACCCTGTCTTACACCTCTCTGCAGTTGGATAGGTTT